TCTAAGGCTGGGATTGGTTAGTTTTGCCCTCCATCTAGGTTTAAAATGAGTCAACTCAGAAGTAGAGACCCAGGACTATCAAGAAGAAAAAGTATGAGTAGTACATGAGATCCTTACCTAGAAAAACAGCAACGGCAGCAGTGACGGCAGCGGCAATGACATGGAGAGTCAGAGCATCTGTGAGGTCTAGAGCCCTGGACTGAGGCAGAGGCCAAGGGGCCACTTGTCTGAGAGGCTGAAGACAAGAGTGAGGCGTGCCTGCAGTCCAGCAGACAAGAGGTGTTCCTGACTGGAGAACTGCTGTATCCTGAGTGTTTCTGATCCTGAATTGTACCCTGTTCACTTCCCTAATAAAGCCCATAATTGTGAGAATTGTTATGAGTTCTATGTGGCCACTGCAACGGATTATGGAACCCAGATGTGAAGTGGAGAGTGATGGGAGGGATGGTTGGTGTCAGAATAGGGTAAAGAACGTCATAGGGTGGAAGCATGTCTGACCTCCGCTTCACAGGAATCGACTTTGGGCTGATTTTGAGTTTCATTCTCTTTCCCTCTTGGGAAGCCAGTGGAAGTCACACATGGCCCTCCTCATGGCCTTTGTAGCTTGTGTCAAGCACACTTTAGTCCTTAACCTGACATTCTTGCTCTTTAAAACACTTCAAAGAGATCTTTTGTAGCAGATTTGCCTAATGCAACACATCCTTTGATTTCTTGACTGCTGCTCCTGTGAGTGTTGAAAATGAAACTAAGCAAAATGAAGTCTTTGACAACTTCAGTCTTTTCTTGTTTATCACGATGCTATTTATTGGTCCAATGGTGAGGACGTTTGTTTTCTTTACATTGAGATGCAACCCATACTGAAGGCTGTAGTCTTTGATTTTCATTAGTATTTTAAGTCCTCTTTCTTTCCAGCAAGGAAAGTTGTGTCATCTGCATATCATAGGTTGTTAATGAGTCTTCCTTTAATCCTGATGCTAGTTTCTTGTTCATATAATCCAGTTTCTCGGATGATTTGCTCAGCATAAAGCTTGAATAAGTATGGTGAAAGGATACAACCCTGGCACACACTTTTTCTGATTTTAAACCATTAACTATTCCCTTGTTCTATTCAAACAACTGTCTCTTGGCCTATGCACAGGTTTCTCATGAGCACAATGAAATACTATGGAATACTAATTCTTCTCAATGTTATCCATAGTTTGTTATGATTCACATAGTTCAGTGCTTTTGCATAAAGCACAAGTCAAGATCTTTCTGCTTCAGCCAAGATCCATCTGACATCAGCAATGATATGCCTCATTGCACATTGTCTTCTGAATCCGGCTCGAACCTCTGGCAGCTCTGTTGCAGTACTGCAACTGGTTTTAAATTATTGTCAGCAACATTTTACTTGCTTGTAATATCAATGATATTATTTGATGATTTTCGTATTCTGCTAGGTCATCTTTCTTTGGAATGGGCACAAATATGTGTCTCTTCCAATTTGTTGGCCAGGTAGATGTCTTCCAAAGTTTCTTGGCACAGACAAGTGAATGCCTCCAGCACTGTATCAGTTTGTTGAAACATTTTGTATTTTATCAATTTATGGAGCCTTGTTATTCATCAATGCTTTCAGTTCAGCTTGAACTTCTTCAATACCATTGGTTCTTGATCATATGCTACTTCTTGAAATGGTTGAACATCAACCACTTCTTTTTGGTACAGTGACTCTGTAGTCCTTCCATCTTCCTTTGATGCTTTCTGCGTCATTCAATATTTTGCCCATTGTTGTTGTTAGGTGCCATTGAGTTGGTACCAACCCATAGTGACCCTACGTACAACAGAATGAACACTGCCCGATCCTGGGCCAAACTCACTACTGTTGCCACGCTTGAGCCCATTGATGCCGCCATTTGGCCAATCTATCTCGCTGGTGGTCTTCCTTTTTTTCTCTGACCTTACCAAACATGATATCCTTCTCCAGCGACTGGTTCCTCCTGACAAATATCTGAACTATGAAAGATGAAGTTTGGCCATCCTGGCCTCCAAGGAGCACTCTGGTTTCACTTCTTCCAATACAGATCTGTTTATTCTTTTGACAGCCAATGCCACTTTCAATATTCTCCTCCAATACCCTAACTCAAAAGCATCAATTTTGCCCATAGAACCCTTTAATATTGCAACCAAAGCCTTGAATATTTTCAGTTCTTTAAGCTTGAGAAATGCTGAATGTATGAGAAGTGTTTTTGATTTTTTTTTAACTCAAGTTCTTTGTACATTTCATTAAAATACTTTACCTTGTCTTCTTGAGCTACCCTTTAAAATTTTGGTTCAGCTCTTTTACATCATCATTTCTTCCAGTAGCTTTAGCTTCTCTATGTTCAAGAGCAAGTTTCAGAGTCTCTTCTGACATCCATTTTGGTCTTTTCTCTCTTGCTGTCTTTTAAATGACCTTTTGCTTTCTACATGTATGATTTTTAAAAATGTCATCCCACCTAGTTTACCATCATAGGTGTCTAATGCATCAAATCTGTTCTTGAGATGGTCTCTAAATTCAGATATATTCAAGGGCATATTATGGCTCTCATGGACTTGTTTTAATTTTTTTTCTTAGGCTTCAGTCTGAATTTGCATATGAGAAATTTAAGGTCTGATCCAAAGTCTGCCCCTGGCCTTGTTTTGGCTGATGATAATTGGGCTTCTCCATGATCTCTTCACACAGATGTAGTCAATTTGATTCTTGTGTATTCCATCTGGTGAAGCCTACATGCATAAGTTGCCGGTTATGTTGAAAAAAGGTAATTGCAATGAATAAATTGTTGGTCTTGCAAAATTTAACCGTTTCTATCACCAAGGCCATAAGTTTCAATTAATGGATCCTTGCTCATTGTTTCTAACTTTTGCACTCCAATCACAAGTAATTACCAATGCACCTTGATTACATGTTTGATTAATTTCAGACTGAAGAAGTTGGTAGAATTCTTCAATTTCATCATCACTACCTTCAGTGGTTGGTGTGTAAATTTGAATAATAGTAGTATTAACTCATCTCCGTTGTTATTGTTGTTAAGTGCCACCTAGTTGACTTACAAGGTCTTCCTTGTAGGTGTAAAGATAGTATCCTATCGTAAATAATACTGTACTTCAAGATAGATCTTAAAATACACTTTTGACACCACTCCTCTTCAGTTTGTTGTTTCTGACATAGTAAATCACATGGACCATTTCAATTCACTAATGACTAAGATTTCGATCTTTATGCATTCCATTTAGTTTCTGATGACTTCCAATTTTCTCAGATTCATACTTCAAACTGGACTGCTAACCACAAGGTCGATGGTCCAAATCTACCAGCAGCACCTCAGAAATCCTTTACAGGCTTGCTCTGGGTCAGAACTTTACAATAATGATACCAACAACACTTAATAACAATGACAACAAACGGAGACAAGTAGGGACCAGTCCCTGGGGGACCTCATGCATGGTAAAGTAGAGAAACTTAGAAAAAGAAGACCTCCACACCCCGATTATTAATGGATTATTAATCCCATCCACGTCCTTAAAGTCGACTCTACTTTGAGGAAGCAGTTCTTCCTCAATCTTATTTTTAAATAACTTCCAAATTGAGGGGCTAATCTTCCAGCTTTCTGTCTGACAGTGTTCCACTGCTGTTCATAAGGTTTTCAATGGCTAGCCATTCAGAAGTGGTCCACTTCTCCTTCTCCCTACTTTGTTTTAGTCTGGAAGCTCTGCTGAAACTTGTCCACTATGGGTAATACTGTTGATATTTAAAATACTGGTAATATAGCTTCACAGCAACACACACCACATTATAACAAACTGACAGATAAGTGGCTAGGAAAATGGGTAGGCGATTTTATTTTCCACTTTTATGTTTCTTTTTTTCTATAAAAAGAAAGTACATTATTTATCATTCTTTTGGGCATTGAGGGTCCTAGGATCTGGGCCCCAGAACTACATCTGCCACCAGCACTTTAGAGAAATCAGATAACTGATTTCTGTCTATTATGTATTGCCTGGTAGCGTAGTGGTTACGAATTGGGCGGCTAACCTCAAGGTTGGCATTTTGAAACTACCAGCTGCTCCGCGGGAGAAAGCTGAGGCTTTCTGCTCCTGTAAAGATTTGGAAGATCTTTAGATCTCGGAAACTCTGTGCAGGCTCACTATGAGTCGGAACCGACTCCACGGTACTAAACCACGAGAACAATGTATGCCCTTGGAGTTGATGGCTAACTCGAGGGTCCCCATGCATAATAGAACCAACTAATAACACATGGTCCCGTACCATCCCCATGATCAAATTTGGATCACACCACAGGGTTTTGTTTTTGATTTTCAGAAGTAGATCACCAGGCCTTTCTTCCTAGTTTATCTTCATCAGGAAGCGTCATGGGAACCCATTCAGCATCATAGGAGCACACACGCCTCCACCAGCAGGTGGGTGGTGGCTGTACAGAAGTAGATTGATTGGATTGGATAACAGGGCTTCCCTTTGGGAGACCAGGAGTCTACAACTGAGCCAGTTTATTGTTAGGTGCTATGAAGTCAGCTCTACCCCACAATGACCCTATATATAGCAGGCTGAAACCCTGCTTGGGCCTATGAGCTCCTTAACAATTGTTGCATTGTCTGAGCCATTGTTGCAGCTACAGTACCAATCCACTTCCTTAAAAGTCTTCCTCGTTTTTCTCTGATCCTCTACCTTACCAAGCATGATGTCATTTTCCAGGGACTGGTTCCTCCTTGCCTTAGTTTACTCATCTATAAACCAGGAAGAAATATACCACTTGCTCTCCCTAAGTCAGAGGAGTTGGGAATGAAACAGAAGCCCGCAGAGGGGACTGAATGCTCACCCTGCCTGTTCCCAGGGATTGTCTGTCTCTGTGGCCTTCCTCTGGCGGCCAGGTGCACCAGCAGGCCGAGCCTCAGACTTCCTCTGTAGCATCCGACGGCCCTCCTCTAGTAGTACGGTTAGCAATAGCCCTCGCTGGTTCCAGGGCACGTAGGCCTTTGCAGCGAGCAAAGCCTCCTCTGGCCGTAACTGGCAGGCTGTGACATAGTCGAGTGCGCCCAGGAAGGAGCTGCCTTCCAGCACGCGGAGCAGCCCACGGCCACACAGCGCACGCACGCAGCCTCGAGGGTGCGGATCGCCCAGCTCCACCACCGTCTGGAAATCCTCCCGGGCGCGCCGCGTGTCCCCCGTGTGCAGTGCGCAGAAGCCGCGCAGTGCCAGCAGGGGCGCCCGGGGCCCTACGCGGGGGCCGGGACAGTCACCTTGACGACCCCTGGGCCGCAGTAGGCGTTCGCACAGCGCCCACGCGCCCGCTGCGTTCCCAGCCAGTAGCAGACACTCGGCCAAACGGACGCTCAGCACCGATCGCGCCCCGGGCGGTGCCACGCGCAGCAGAACGCGCAGCGCCTTGGTCACTGGGGCCAGCAGCTCGCGGTCTGTGTCGCCACGAAGCTCCGGGCGGCTGCGCACGGCTTCTCGGAAGCAGGCAAAGCCTAGCTCCGCGGTCTCCTGCATCTGAGCCCGGAAACGCTCGCGGTCTTCGGCTGAAAGCAGCGTCTCGAAGTGTCTTCGCGCAGCTGTCGGGCTCTTGCGGAAGGCCTCCTGCAAGTCCCCCAGCATGTCCTGGGGTCGACCATCTAGGAAGAAGACCGCGGCCGCGCGGGTGACCAGCAGGGCGACCAGGTGCTCACCTAGAGGGAGAGAAAAAGAGGCGTTGGTGCTGCTTGTTGAGTTATTCCCTCCCCTTTCCACCATAGCCCCTATTCCTCCTGCAGGGATTTGATGCTCTGAAGCAATACACTTCTGCTCACCTTACCTGCCTGCGACTCTTCTAGCCCTGCAGGACACTGATATCCCCAAGGCAGAGCTAGCAGGAGGCCCTCCTGCCCAACAGATACAGAGCAGGATTAGAACCAGGCCTGGACACCCAGGGGCTGGCATCCAGACACTGTGGATGAGCACTCTTCTCTTAGTGTGGGAGCAACATCTCACAACGGGGTCAGCTTGGAAACTGAGCTACACACCTGCCTTCCCTTTCCTGACCAGAGCTTTGGACTCTGCCAACTTGTAGGAGCCATTTGCTCCAGTTGCATCATTGTTTCATCTCCTTTGTTAGGACCCATGGGTTCCTCTTTGAGAGAGAGAACGCTCTGTGAAGTCCTAGAAAGAGAACGGTACATACGTGACTTTTACTAAGTGGACGAGCTTGGGTGGTTTGCTCAGTTTCCCTTTCTGCAACTTAATGGAGAGCATTGTGGTTCATACATGCAGGGCTGTGAGGACTGGATGAATTAGTGTGGACCCAGTGTCTGGAACAAGGCCTGCTCTGTAGTGTGACTCAGCCAGGCTTGGCATCAGCAGCAGAATCACCCTCTACCATCTTCATACTTTATGTCTGAGCCACTTAAACACAAGTATAGTGGCTTGTTAAAGAATGCCTACTTGTCCCACCCCAAAATGAGTCCAAGCAGGCAGGGCAAACACCAGGGAGAAATCAGGAAAAGTCAGAGCTGGGAGGAGGCTGAGCTCTGGAGACCCCCCGCCCCCCCAATTTTACAGATGAAGTAGGTGTGGTTAGACAGGGATTCTCAAAGCTTTGGTGAGTCTGAAGCATAGGTCTTTGAACCCGTACTTTAGAACTTTTTGCACTGAGTTCTTCAGAAATGTCAAAAGCCTCTTTTTGTACCACCTCACTTTAATAATTGTTGTTGTTAAGTGCCATCGAGTCGGTTCCGACCCATAGCGACCCTGTACAGGGTTTCCAAGGGTGTAAATCTTTACGGGAGTAGAAAGCCTCA